CTAATCACAAAAGACAGCAAGACAGAAAGAAAGGAACAAAAGACCTACAGAGAATGAGAAAATGATTAACAAAATGGCAGTTGTAAGTCCTTACCTATCAATAATTACTTTAAGCCAACATGGCTCCACTATACTCCAGCTGAGTATACTATACTCCAGACAGAGCGGGACTCTGTCTCAAAAAAAAAAAAAAAAAAAAAAAAAAAAAAGAAAAAAAAAAAGAGTGGTTGAATGAATTTTTAAAAATAACCGAACAACATTTCAGAAGAGACTTCTTTCACCTTTCAAGACACACACAGACTGAAAGTGTAGGGATGGAAAAGAATATTCCATGCAAACTGAAACTAAAAGAGATCAGAGGAAATCCACATTTCTATATATAGATATACTTACATAAAATATACTTAAAGTTAAAAACTGTAAAAAGAGACAAAAGAAGGTCTTTATATAATCAGAAAGAGGTCAATTCATCAAGAAGATATAACAATTATAAATATGTATGCACCCAACATCAGAGTACCTAAATATATAAAGGAAATATTAATAAATCTAGAGGGAGAGACAGACTGTAATGCAATAATAGTAGAAGACTTCAATACACCACTTTCAGCAATGGACAAATCATACATACAACAAATAAGACATCAGAGTTAACAAATTTAGTGGGATTAAAATCACATCAAGTATATTTTCCAACCACAATGGCATAAAACTAGAAGTCAGTAACAGGAGGAATTTCAGAAAATTCACAAATGCATGGAAATGAAACAGCATGCTCCTGAACAATCAATGGGTCAAAGAAGACATTAAAAGGAAAATTAGGGCCGGCATGGTGGCTCACGCCTGTAATCCCAGAACTTTGGAAGGCCAAGGCAGCGGATCATGAGGTCAGGATATTGAGACCATCCTGTCCAACATGGTGAAACCCTGTCTCTACTAAAATACAAAAAATTAGCTGAGCATGGTGGTGTATGCCTGTAGTCCCAGCTAATAGGGAGGCTGAGGCAGGGGAATCGTTTGAACTCAGGAGGTGGAGATTGCAGTGAACCAAGATCACGTCACTGCACTCCAGTCTCATGACAGAGCAAGACTCTGTCTCAAAAAAAAAAAAAAAAAGGAAATAAAAGGGGGAAATTAAAAATTACCTTGAGACAAAATTACCTTGAGAAAATGAACACACAATATACCAAAACCTATGGGATGCAGCAAAATCAGGTCTAAGAGGGAAGTTTATAGGATTAAAAACCAAAATAAAAAAAAAATGATGTATATAAATAACCTAAGAGTACTCCTGAAGGAACTAGAAAAAGATAAAACTAAGCATAAAGTTAGAAAAAGAAAATAATAGGCCGGGCGCGGTGGCTCACGCCTGTAATCCCAGCACTTTGGGAGGCCGAGGCGGGTGGATCACGAGCTCAACAGATCGAGACCATCCTGGTCAAAATGGTGAAACCCCGCCTCTACCAAAAATACAAAAAATTAGGTGGTCATGGTGGCGCGTGCCTGTAGTCCCAGCTACTCAGGAGGCTGAGGCAGGAGAATTGCCTGAAGCCAGGAGGCAGAGGTTGCGGTGAGCCGAGATCGCACCATTGCACTCCAGCCTGGGTAACAAGAGCGAAACTCCGTCTCAAAAAAAAAAAAAAAAAGAAAAAGAAACTAATAAAGATCAGAATAGAAATGAATGAAATGGACACTAGAAAAACAACAGGTCAATGAGACTAAGAAGTTGGCTTTTTGAAAAGATAAACAAAATTGACAAACCTTTATCTAGACTAAGAAAAAAGACGATTCAAAAAAATAAGACATCAAAGAGGAAACATCACAACTGATACTACAGAAATGCGAAGGACCACCAGAGGCTACTATAAACAAGTATATGCCAACAAATTGGATAACCTAGAAGAAACAGATGAATTCCTAGACACATACAATTCTACCAATACTGAATGATGAAGAAAAAGAAAATCTAATCAGACCAATAACAAATAAGTAGATGAATGAATAAAAAGTTTTCCCATCAGAAAAAAAAAGCCCATGACCTGATGGTTTCATTGCTGAATTCTACCAAAAATTTAAAGAACAGTTTTCTCAAATTCTTCAAAAAACTGAAGAAGAGTAAATACTTCCAAATTCATTTTATGAGGCTAGAATTCCCTGATGCTAAAGCCAAAGACACTACTGGAAAAGGAAACTATAGGTCAATATGCCTGATGAACATAGATGCAAAATTTCAATAAAATACTAGCAAACTGAATTTAACAGCACACGAAAAGGATCACTCACCATCATCAAATGGAATTTATTCCTGGGGCTCCAGGATTGACCTTGTCAACCTGTGCAAATCAATGTGATTCATCATAGTAACAGAACAGACAAGAAACATGTAATCATCCCAACAGGTAAATTTGATAAAATTTAACTTCCTTTCATGATAAAAACTCTCAACATATTAGGCATAGAAGAAATTTACCTCAGCATAATAAAGGCCATATGTGACCCACACACAGCTGACATCATACTCAATGGTAAAAAGTTGAAAACTTTTCCTCTAAGATCACAAATAAGACAAGGATGCAACATGGTACTGGAAGTCCTACTCAGAGCAATTATTCAAGAGAAAGAAATAAAAGGCATTCAAATTGGTTAAGAAGTTAAATTGTCCCTGTTTGCCGACATGATATTATATATAGAAAATTCTAAAGACTGTAGCAAAAAACTGTTAGAACTAAAAAACAAATTCAGTAAAGTTGCAGGAAACAAAGTCAATGTACAAAAATCAGTAGCATTTCTGTACATTAAAGACAAACTATCCCAAAAAAAAATTGAGAGAACAGTCCCATTTACAATAGCTACCAAAAATTTAACCAAAGTGATGAAAGACCTGTACACCGAAAACTCTAAGACACTGATGAAAGTAACTGAAGGCCAGGTGTGGTGGCTTACACCTGTAATCCCAGCACTTTGGGAAGCCAACGTTGGTGGATCACCTGAGGTCAGAAGTTGGAGACCAGTGTGGCCAACCTGGCAAAACAGCATCTTTAGTAAAAACACAAAAATTAGCCGGGCATGGTGGTACATGCCTGTAGTTCCAGCTACTCAGGAAGCTGAGGCAGAGATTTGCTTGAACCTGGTAGGAGGAGGTTGCAGTGAGCCCAGATGTTGCCACTGCACTCAAGCCTGGGTGACAAAGTGAGACTCCGACTCAAAAAAAAAAAAAAAAAAAGTGATGACAAAGACACAAATAAATGGCCCAACAAATAAATAAAAACACATCCTCTGTTGAACTGGAAAAATTTATGTTGTTAAAATGTTCATATTACTCAAAGTCATTTGCAGATTCAATACAATGCCTATCAAAATTCCCATGGCTTTTTTCGAAGAAATAGAAAAAACAATTCAAAGATTCACATGAAACTAGAAAAAACCTTGAATAGCCAAAAAATCTTAATCAAAACAACAAAGCTAGAGGTATCACATTACTTGACTTCACAATATGCCACAAAGCTATAGTAATCGAAACAGCATGGTACTGTCATAAAAATAGACACATAGACCAATGGAACAGAATAGAGATCCTGGAAATAAATCCACACATTTATGGTCAATTGATTTTCCACAGAGGGTAAGATGGGGAAATGGGGAAATGGGGAAAAGATAATCTCTTCAATAAATGGTGTTGGGACAACTGCTATTTTTCTGCGGAAGAATAAAATTAGAACCTTATCTCATACCATATAAAAAATAAGCTCAAAATGGATTAAAGCCTTAAATGCAAGACCTGAAACTATAGAGCTACCAGAAAATAGGGGAAAAGCTCATTGACACTGGTCTGGATAATAATTTTTTTGGATAAGACTTCAAAAGCACAGGCAACAACAACAAGAATAGACAAATGGGATTACATCAAACTAAAATCTTTATACAGCACAGGAAACAGTCAACACAGTAAAGAAACAATCTGTTGAATGGGAGAAAACAACTGCACATCACACAACTGATGAGAGGTTAATAGCCAAAATATACCAGAAACATGAGCAACTCAATAGCAAGAAAACAAATAACTAAATTAAAAATGAGGCAGATGACCTGAACAGACATTTCTCAAAGAAAGACCAACAGGTATAGAAAAAAATGCTCAACATCACTAATAATTAGGGAAATGCAAATCAAAACCACTACAGAATATCACCTCATACCTGTTAGAATGGTTATGATTAAAAAGATGAAAGGTAAGAGAGAAAATATGAAGAAAAGGGAATGCTTAACACAATATTGGTGAAAATGTACATTAGTATGGTCACCATGGAAAACAGCATGAAGGTACTTAAAAATAAAGAACTACTATATGGTCCAGCAATTTCATTACAGGGTATTTATCCAAAGGAATTGAAGTTAGAATCTGGAGAGATATCTGCACTCCCATGTCCATTGTGACATTATTCACAATAGCTAAGATGTGGAAGCAACCTAAGTGTCCATCAACAGATAAATGAATAAGAAAATGTGGTACATATACACAATGGAATACTATTAGGCCTTAAAATAGAAGGAAATCCTGTCATTTGTGACAATATGGATTAACCTAGATGACATTATGTTAAATGAAATCAGCCAGGTGCAGATATCACATGATCTCACTTACATATGGCATCTAAAAAAGTTAAACACATAGAAACAGAGAGCAAAATAATGGCTACCAGGATTGGGAGTAGGGAACAGTACTTGAGAAGATATTGATCAAAGAATACAAAACTTCAGTTAGGAGAGATAAGTTCAAATGATATATTGCACGAATGGCAACTCTCGTAAATAACTGCATCATATTTGTGAAAATTGCTAAGAGTAAATTTTGTGTTCTTACCATGAAAAATGATGAATGTGTGAGGTAATGCATATGTTAATTAGCTCAATTTAGCCACACCACAATGTATACATATTTCAGACAAGATCAGGCGCATTCAGGGTGGTAGGGCTGTAGATTACATATTTCAAAGCATCACTTTGTACAAAATAAGTATAGGCAATTTTTATTAGTCAATGTTAGAAGATATTTTCTTAAAAACTATGTAGTTTACAAAGCTTAAAATATTTGCTATTTGGCTTTTAAGAAAATGTTTGCCCACCCCTGTCCTGGAGTCTTGGAGAGCAAGACCTTTTATAGTACCTGGCATTTAGTAGGTACATATTAGATCTCTGTTGAAAGAAGTAAAGGGCCTCAAGGCCCAGCTCTAAGCCCTCTTTAATGGGAGGCTCTTTTTTTGGTAGGGCAGGGCTAGACAGCTGTGGGTCAGTTCTCTTCTGATAGTCCCAGAGTCTAAAGCAAACCGTAGATGAAAGCTCTGAAGGAGAGACACCAGTACTCACAGGTCTCACATCCATGCTCAGTCCAAGGGGACCTAGCTACTTCCTTACCCCTTCTCAGTTTCAGGAGAAGGAAAGTGTTGGACATTGGTTAAGACCCTCTCCCACTTTTCAGGAGCCAATTGCTTTGGTGAACCCTCTGGCAAGGGCATGGATACTTTTCTCTGTTCTTCCCAACAAACATGGGTTGGGCTAGACTCTAAAGAGCAGCCATGGAGGACTGTGGGAAGGACCCACCCTTCCTGTAGAAGCTCTCTGCAAAGCAAGAAGCAGGGTATGGTAACAAATGCCAATTCCTGGTTAAACTGGACTTGATAGGTGAAATATTTCAGGCTGTACGTGGTCACGTTGTACATATGCATGCCTGGGGGTTACCAGGCTATATGCAAATGTACAGGGAAGAGGTAGGCTCTAAGAACCTGCTGGGACCCCTAGGATGAGCTGTGGATTTTTGCCCCTGATGCCATGAATTGGAGGGTCCTCTGCTCAAAACATATGGTACACACTTCTTTTAATCTGGTATCATCTTTAGGTTCAGAAGAGAAAACATTCTCTTCCTAATACCAAAGTCCTCATCTTAGGTTCCCTGGGTCCACAGAGGGTTGCCTTTGACGAGCTGGTATCTGAAGGCTTGAGAAAGCACCAGCTTCCACCACTCCCAAGTCCTGGAGGGTATCCAGTAACTGCTCCCGGGCAGCACCAATAAAGCAATTCTCCAGAAAGATAGGCAGGCCTCCCACACCATCACGCAGGGTATACAGGGGCACTCTCACCAGGCCCAGCACCTGTAAAAGTAAGGAGACAAGACACTGGGACTCCAGGTAGCTCATGTCGCTACTTCCATCCTCTCTTTAGCAGATCTTTCTAGAGCAGATGCCTCACCCCTTAATACACCAAGAGAAACAAGCCAAGGCTTCTATCTAAAGGAGACCCAGTAGGCCCAACCCTCTGCAGACAAATGACCCGAGGCATACTATCCAGCTCCATCAATGTTACTCCTTATGACATCTGTTCCCTAAACCTCTAGTGATTCCTAACTAATGCCAGAATTCATGCTTAGCCCTGCAACAATGGTTGTCAAAATGGGAAACCTAGACCAGCTTCATCAGCATCACTTGGGAACTTCTGAAAAAAGCAAATTCTCAGATTTCTGAACCCCTGCCCCCAGGACTTGGGAGTAGTGGAAGCTGGTGTTTTCTCACCCCCAACCAGCATTCTGGGAGTAGAATCTAGTCATTGTTGTCTTTATAAGCCTCACAGCTGATTCTGATACTTGACAAAATTTAAGAACCACCTCCATATACAATCTGTGTCCATACTACCCTAGCTTTAAGTATTAGGGCCATACCTTCTTCCTAAGAAAAACAGAGGCCCAACAATAAGGGACTAGGGTGGATGCCTGGCCATTTTCACATTATCAGTAGAGAGCAGCAGAGAGATTTGTAAATGTGTGTTCTAGAAAAATCTCTCCAGAGCCCAGTAAAGGGTGAGATGGGTGGAAATCTTCCCAGGAAGCCTAGGTTGGCAGCACCATTCCATAAGAGAAGACCAAGATCCCAACTCCACCGAAAAAAAAAAAAAAAAAAATGGGGAAGAGGGCAAGTTCTGACAGACACCGACCTCAATCCAAAAAGAGTTTCTAAGGCAAAGGAAGGAATGGAAGGGAAAGGAATAGGATATGGGGCAGGGTCCCAGACAGGCCCCACCTCCAGCCCGTGGTCTTTGGCGCGTGTTGCACTGGCCTCCACAGCGGACAGCTGCTCGAGTGTCAGAGACTTGGCATAGAAGTGGGCCACAACACGTGGCCCTGACCCGGCGTGGGAGCTGCGGTAGTCAGGGCGCTCCACGCGGAAGGCAGCCGCCGCCTCACCCAGCTGTTCCAGCAGACCACGGTTCAACCCATCCTCCAGACTGCTGTCTTGCGAGTCCACGAATCCCCCAGGGAAGCCCAAGCGCCCATCGAAGCGCATCTGCATCTGCGAGAGGAGGAAGCTGGGATTGGTAGGGGCACCCAAGGGTAGTACCGCAGGGAGGATGTAGGGCCAAAGTGGAAAGGTCCGGGCGCGCCCCCTCCTCACCAGTATGGCGTAGCGCAGAGGGAGGCGGCCAAAGAGAATCCCAGGATCGGGCGCGTGCAGGAGGGCGTAACAGGCATGCCTCCAGTCCGGCCCCAGAGCCAGAGCCTCTGCCAGCTCCAGCCTGCGAGGCCGGGCCATGGCCCAACACTTCTGCTCCGCAGTCCCTAAGGCCCACGAGGGCACAAAGTCCGTCTCACCTCGGACCAGGACCAATCCCAGCGTGGGCGGTGCCACAAGGCCCAATCCCTGCAGGGCTAAGGGGAGGAACCTGGGCGCCCTAGGTGTGGGCGCGGCGACTGCGGGAGGCGGCCTATCAGAGCAGGGCTTGCAGACGGACTGAAGTCCAGGGCCTAGAAACCTTAGCCTCTGCGTTGGGCCTGTGTCAGGGAGGGCTGAAGGTGAGGCAGCGCCCGGAACCTGGAGCGAGCGAGGCAGGTACGTACACGACTGCGTCACAATCTCGAGTCAGCTGGAGTGTCCCAGGAGGTGAGGAATTGCTGGGGCGCTCAGTTGAGTGCTAGGAGCCAAAGGAACAATGACAAGCTTTGGTTGGGTCTGGTGGTACACAAAGCACAAGGCCTGGGTTGGGGTTAGGAGGAAATGAGGCAGGGCTGGCCTCACACACCGAGGCCTATACTAGGGAAACGGGGATGGAGCGGCGCCATGGTCTAACAACTGTCTTGAGTGGTGAAACTGAGGGGACTTGGTGACTGCGTGAAGAGGGAGCGCTGGGCTAGTGGTGGTTAAGAGTTTCCTGGATGTGGTGTCATTTGCTGAGAGGGGAAGAGTGGGAGAAGGGTGGGCAGAGATGAATGTCGTTCTAGTCAAGAATTGGGGTGGCCATAGACAGTGGGCAGCTGATCCCGGGGGTTTGACGCACAGGATCCTAGTGGCACATGGAGAAGTCACAGGGCAGTGAGATTTTCAGGGGAAGTGTGGAGCAGAAGGAGCTGTGAGTGAAACCCTGTGTCACAGGACTGGGAGTGAGGAGGGGTGAGAGGTAGAAGAAGCCTCCTAGGCGTTCTAGTCTTTCCTGCAAACACCCTCAGACCTCTGAGCTGTGAAGGAGGGTGGGTTACCCTACCACTCAGGGCCTGATGCTGAGATGCAGATCCCTCATTTCAGGCCAGGCCTTCCCCACGCCGCACAGCGCCCCTACACCAGGTGTCAATATTGATTGTGCAACAGAAAGCAGGAGGCAGCTCTTTGAGAGGGGCTGGGCATAAAATCACAGCGTGTAAGTGACAGCATGTGGTGGGAAAGAGTCTGGACCCACCCAGAAAGAGGCTTTTAACCTTAACAAGTCACTTAACTCTCGGATCCCAGTAGCTCATCTGTTAAGTGGAGATGATACCAACCTATTAGGGATCTTGAGATATGTAAAGCACTTAGAACGGTGCCAGGCAGAAAGTAAATGTAGCCATTCTTGGAGTCGAGGTTTGGGGCACAGTGCTCTGTCATGTTAAAGACCCAAGGGTTGGAACTGAGCCACACTCATCAAGGCCCCAGTGTTTCAAGCAGGGATGACATCTGTTGGGCATCATTATTCCTAGCTTAGTCTTCTGAGTTCCAGGGCAGAGATGTCAACTACTCACATGAGACAGCCAGATCAAGGTGATAAGCCTACAGGTGTAACACAATCCTTGTTAGCCTATCATGCTGGGGACTTGGAAATGGTCCCCGCTTAATGTTAGAGTCACCTTGCTCTAAAACGTTATAGCAACTGCCATATTAAGGGTTCCAATCAGACCAACTGAATCAGAATCTGTGGAGGTACTATAGGGACATACGTGGTTTTTCAAAGGTGTTTCAGGGAACAGCCAAGGTGGAGAACAGGTGCTCTACTCCTTTCCCGAGCATTTCAAAGGTGACCTTCTCTCCTAGATTAGCTGCTTTTAAGGATTTAGGGTTAAACATGCCCTTTCCAGATCTTCAGGCTGTTCTTTCTTTCCTGGTTGCTTGAGGAGACTTTTAAAGATGGACTCAACTATTTATAAGGCAGCATGGAAATCTATAAAAATCAAAGCAACAGGTATACAGGAATTAATGCTTTGGAAATCAGAGCTTTTTCTGGATGAAGGAATATGGAAGTCCGTAAGAGCCCCAACCTTGCCATCCGTTTCAAATCCCTCTCTGCCTCTGCCCTACCTCCCCACCCTCACTAACCATCCCCCATTTCACTGTCCTGAGGCAGAATGCCCAGGACTCAGGGCTGCAGGTAGAGGGCTGAGCTATGTATCTAAAAAGCTTCTCTAAGTTCATAATGGTACATGGAACCAAAAATAGCTCTGTGGTCAGTCTGGGAGGATGCTAAGGAACCAGTTCGTTTTAAAAATAATCAGGAAAACAATTAAGCACTTATCCTGCCTTTTTAATTTATTTATTTTTATTTTTTGAGATGGAGTCTTGCTCTGTCATCCAGGCTGGAGTGCAGTGGCTTAATCTCGGTTCACTGCAACCTCTGCCTCCCAGGTTCAAACAATTCTTATGCCTCAACCTCCCTGAGTAGCTGGGATTACAGGCACCTGCCACCACGCCTGGCTAATTTTTGTATTTTTAGTAGAGACAGGGTTTTGCCATGTTGACCAGACTGGTATTGAACTCCTGACCTCAAGTGATCCATCTGCCTTGGCCTCCCAAAGTGCTAGGATTACAGGCATGAACCACCGCACCCGGCCTATCCTGCCTTTTGTATATGGGCTCTTCCTCAGGGCTACTAAATAGTTGATGAGAGGAAACTTTTGTTATAAGCATTCTAGCTAATCAAGGAGCCAATCAAAATTTTACATTTTTAAAAATCTTTAAAGAATTAATGGAGGCTAGAGAATGATCATCAATGGTTGCTAAAATCATGAAAAGGCAACCAACCAATTACTGTGCACTTCATGATGGAAGAATACATCCCCTTCTACTAATTTTTCTTGCACAAAATTGAACTTGAATCTCAACCTATGCCAGTTATAAGAAATATAAAGGTGCCCCTTTAAAAAATATCAGGAAGAGACTAGAATGATCCATGCAATAGTGGATTCGAGTTGGATACATCAGTATTAACTTATGTTTAGCTTAATATAGCTACATATGTTTACATAGGGGAATATTTGTAGATATGTACACACCTCTTTTATAAAGTCACTAATTTCATTCATGAGGCCCCTGCCCTCATGATCTAAATCACCTCCCAAAGGCCCTACTTCCAAATACCAACAAATTGGGAGTTAAGATTTTAAGATATGAATTTGGGGGAATGAAAATATTCAGTCATTAGCAATCATGAAATACAATGAAATTCTGAGAAACTCTCACAACAAAGACAAGCCTAAGGACACAAGACATGATTAATAAGTGGATTCAAGAAATCTGAATCAAGTATAGACTTGATTGATAATGTATCAAAATTGGTTCATTATTGTCTAATGATAATGTATCAAAATTGGTTCATTATTGTAGTAAATGTACCATAATAATATAAGATGTTAATTATAGGGTAAATTAGGTGGAGTAATGGGAACTCTTAGTACTATCTCCACAATTTTTCTGTAAATGTAAAAAATTTAAAATATATGTTTATATAGATGAGGTCTCAGTATATTGCCTAAGCTGGTCTCCATCTCCTGACCTCAAGCTATCCTCCCACCTGAGCTTCCTGAAATGTTAGGGTTGCAGGCATGAGCCACCTCACCTGGCCTGCAAATGAAAAACTTTTTTTAAAGTTTATTTTTTTAATTGCATTTTAGGTTTTGGGGTACATGTGAAGAACATGCAAGATTGTTGCATAGGTACACATGTGGCAGTGTGATTTGCTGCCTTCCTCCCCATCACCTATATCTGGCATTTCTTCCCATACTATCTCTCCCCAACTCCCCACCCCCCGCTGTCCCTCCACTATTTCCCCCCAACAGACCCCACTGTGTAGTGCTCCCCTCCCTGTGTCCATGTGTTCTCGTTGTTCAACACCCGCCTATGAGTGAGAACATGTGGTGTTTGATTTTCTGCTCTTGTGTCAGTTTGCTGAGAATGATGGTTTCCAGGTTCATCCATGTTCCTACAAAGGACACGAACTCATCGTTTTTGATGGCTGCATAATATTCCATGGTGTATATGTGCCACGTTTTCCCTGTCCAGGCATTTGGGTTGGTTCCAGGTCTTTGCTATTATAAACTGTGCTGCAATGAACATTCGTGTGCATGTGTCCTTATAGTAGAATGCTTTATAATCCTTTGGATATATACCCAATAATGGGATTGCTGGGTCAAATGGAATATCTTAAAACATACATGAGAATGCAATCAGTAAATCCTAGATTTGAAAGTTTACAAGAAAAATGACCTGGTTTCATTAATAAATGAATTAGAAGGGAAAAATAAACATGGTGGTAGAATTTATACATTAAAAGAGATTGAGGAGACATATCTATTAAAGTAACTGGGCTTTAATCTAATCTGAACAAACAAAATTCAAATAGGAACATGAGATTCGTATTGGGTATTTTATGTACAGGAATTATGGATCATTGAGATGCGATAGTATTGTGGCTGTTTCTTAAAAGAGTTATATTTTAGAGATACATACATTTGAATAAAGTTTTGCATTTTACAAAACTTTCAATGAGAGAATCCCTTTTGGTTCAGGAGAGGGAGAGAGGTAAGGGCGTGGTCTCACTTTTTAGGCAGAAAGAAAATGACAGCAAACATCTGCCATCTGACAGTTATTTTTTAAAACATTCCACTTAATCCTCATAAAATTTTCCAGATGCTTTGAATGCAGAGCCAAGGTTGAGAACTACTAATTTAGAAGAATATACCCTGGTGGGAATGGGGAGGAGATGCCACCAGCAGAGAGCTATCGGCTAGAGGCTGTCATTTTCCCCAATGACTTCCTGAAAGTACTAGATGCTGTTGCTTATTATTTTTAAACATTCACATAATCTAAAATCCTCTTCAGAAGCCTTAAAGGAGGTACATTTTCTAGAAGGTAACACTGGCTATTTGAAGGTATAGCATCAAAGCTATCCACTGCTCTGTTATCTGGAGTTCATTAAGTAGATCCATTCATACTATAAGGGCAGAATTTTTCAGACACCTGAAGCTCCATGCCCAGACTTTTTTTTTTTTTTCCTGAGACAGAGTTTCACTCTGCCACCCAGGCTGGAGTGCAGTAGTGTGATCTCAGCTTACTGCAAACTCCACCTCCCATGTTTAAACAATGTTCCTGCCTCAGCCTCCTGA